CAACAGGCTGCCATGTTTGTTTCCTGCGAGGATTAGCACCAAGAGGCATTCCAAGATATTTTAAAGGTAATTTGTGACTCAAACAGCTAAGTGTTTCTGCAAACTCCTCCACCAACCCACTCTCCACTCCGACTCCACAAATCAAACTCTTATGAAAATTTATCTTCAGCCCCGATACCACTTCAAAACACCGTAAAATTCGTTTGATTGTCATGATTTCTGACCACTCAGCCTCACAGAATATAATAGTATCATCAGCGAACTGGAGATGGGACACATTCACAGCTCTATTACCCACGACCACACCTCTTATAAACCCCAACCCCTTGGCCCTTGACAGCAGAATATGCAGACCTTCAGCAACAACATTGAACAAGAACGGGGACAAAGGATCACCCTGTCTTAACCCTTTTTGTGGACAGAACTCAGCGGAAGGGGAGCCATTCACCAAAATGGAAATTCTAGCAGATTCCATGCACTCCTTCATCCATCGAATCCATCTTGAACCAAAACCAAAACTAGAAAGCATATGCAACAAGCAATTCCAATTAACAGTATCGTATGCTTTTTGAAAGTCTAATTTAAGAATAAGGCCCTTATTCTTTGATTTTTTCCACCAATCTACCACCTCATTGGCTATAAGCACCCCATCCATAATATTTCGACCCCCAACAAAAGCGGACTGAGCTTTATCAATAACAGAAGGCAGAACTTGCCTAATTCTGTTAGCCAAGACCTTAGACAGCACCTTATATGGAGAATTAATCAAGCTAATAGGCCTAAACTCAAGAAGGGAACTAGGATTCTCCTTTTTGGGGATAAGAGAAACGAAAGAACAATTAACCCCATATCCCAATTTACCATTACTATAGAACTCCTTCAAGAACTTCATAATGTCACCTTTCAAGAATTTCCACCCTTTTTGAAAAAACATCATGTTGAAACCATCCGGCCCAGGGGCTTTGTTCCCGTCACAGACTTTTATAGCACCCCAAACTTCTTCCTCTGTGAATTCTCCCTCCAAAATAGTCACTGCTTGAGTAGCATCAATCTTCTTAAAATCTCCACCTATTTTTGGCCTCAACCTCTAATGTTCAGAAAATAAATCCTGGAAATGAGAATACACTGCTTGTTTGACTGCACTTGGTTCCTCCACCTCAACCCCATTCACCATTAGAGATGCAATCGAATTTCTGTTTTGTTTTTTAGTGGCCATAAGATGAAAAAATCTCGTATTTCTGTCCCCTTTCAAAGCCCAGTTCATTCTAGATTTTTGCACCCACAACCATTCCTTTCTTTTTCTAAGCTTCCAAACTTGACCCAGTACCTCCTTTCTTCTACCCTCTTCCTCCTCAGTCAATCCCCTCAACTCAGATTGTAAATCCAGAGAATGTAAAGTACTTTCAGCTTCAGTTAATCTTGATTCAACGTCCCCAAACACTTCCACATTCCATCTTTTCAGAACCCCTTTTAGAGCTCTCAGCTTCTCCATAATTACATGACTAGCCCAACCATGAACAATTGTTGATTCCCATGCTGTTTTGACTACATCAAGAAAATTAGGATGTAACACCCAAGCATTGATGAACTTGAAAGGTTTAGGGCCCCAATTCCTAGCATCAACCATCATCAAAATGGGACAATGATCAGAAAACAATCTAGGTAATCCCCAAACCTTATATCTGAACCATTCTAACCACTCAGGGTTAACCAAAAACCGATCGAGTCTACTCCAGCTTTGTGAATTACCCCAAGTGAAAAGCCTACCTAACATTGGGATATCCACCAATTCCAGATTATTAATGAAGTTTCCAAACTCAACCATACCTTTGTCCATTCTAACACACCCTTTTCTTTCACTAATACTTTTAACTTCATTAAAATCTCCCCCTAGGCACCAAGGATTAGGGAACAAAGACTTCAGATTAAAAAGGATATCCCATAACCTCTTTCTATTGGAATCTTCATTTGGAGCATATACATTTCCAATAACACAGTTAATTGAAGAATGCATAGTACCTGCCAGAAGAATGAAGTTTCTGGAACAGCAACAATTCTTTAATGAAAAAATCAAAGGGTTCCAGACACAGAGGAGCCCACCCGTACTGCCAACTGCATCTACATTCATATATTCCACTAAATCGATAGGCCACAATGTCCTAACAAAAGCAGCATCTAGACTAGATTTTTTTGTTTCTTGCAGCAAAACCATATCCACCTGTTTCAACCTCAAAAATTCCTTTAACCTTTGCCTTCTATCTGCCCTCCCCAGCCCTCTTACATTCCAGGATAAAATTTTCATGAGGAAACAACTTAGCACTATAGCCACCGACCAAATGCTGCAACTAAGCACCTGGCTCCACCCATGTTACCTTAGCTCTACTCATATCTTCAAGTTCCAATTGAATTACTCGCTCCACAATCTCAGCCTCTTGCCCATTCATTTCCAAACCCAGAGCCTTACCCAACTGAATGGTAGCCTCAGCTTCTTTTCTGATTTTCCTTTTCTGATTTTCCTTTGCCTTAGCACTATTTATTTTTTCAAGTTCCAACCGTATTCGCCGCTCCTCAGTTTCAACCCCTTGCCCATTCATTTCAAGGCCCCGAGTCTTACCCATCTGAACTGTAGCCTCAGCTTCATTTCTGGTTTTCCTTTGCTTACAAAAATTATTACTGATGGATAAAGATGATGAAGATGCCAGTGTAGCTGCACGAACAAGGGCACCACGTTGGAAGCCATTCCTGAAAAGGATCCCCTTTTTCCTCTTCCTCCCGAACTTACCCTGCACTCTTCTCTCATGTTGTTTGGCTTCTGCACTAAAAGCACAATCATAAATACCTGGTTGATCCACTTCCCCTTCTTCCTCACTTGGGCTGAACTCATCCCCTGTACTAACATTATCTTCATCTTCTATATTCTGGTTGCCCTCCACAACAGGAATGGCCTTATCCATCTCATGCCCCAGACTTTTCCCAGCAAATTGGGCTTGATCCAGAACTACTTCCAAAAGTATATTGGGCTGATTAATATCACCAGCACTTAAGCTTCTAATAAACCCATTAGGCCCAGAAGGTGATGGCAGCACCTGAACGCCTCGTCTTTCACTCCCTTCAGCCTCCCTTAATAAAGATGCCTGTACATTTACATTGGGGACAGAATGAACCAGAGCATGATCACAACTTCCCATCTCAGCAACGGTCTCATTAACTACCGATATGGAGGCTGAGTTACACATGTGATTATAGACAGACCCTACCAACCCCTCAGAAGTCTTATTACCATTTGCCATGTCAAGGCTTCTTTCCACATCACCCATAATAACTCCCACGTCATCACCCTTCTTCCTAATACCATGAGGCACTGTAGAACTGTGATCACCGCCATCCATGGATTCTGTTAACAACTCCCTAACCTCAACCACACGAACAGGGTAGGAACTTCCATCACGTTCCAGAATAACCAACTTATCAATACGTTCCAATTGAGTAGTACAAATTCTAATTTTACCACATTTGAGAGACTCCATGCTCATTACATTGTGATCAAACTGAACAGTTTTCCCACACGCATCTCCAATTTTGCGAAAGTTAGTAACGTTCCAAAGATTATGAGGCATACCAAAGCAACTTAACCAAACTAATCTTTCATTTTCTAACCGCATACCTTTCTTCCACTGAGTGATTGCATCACACCATTCTAATAACCACTCACCAGGGTTATTCAATGCTTGCTGTAGCTCCACTTGTGATTTAAAAGTGATAAAAGCATTCCTTCCTCCACCTTCCCTAATCTGTATATCCTTAAAACCTCTGTTATGGCATTCAGTTTTGAACCCTTCAAAGCTACAATGAGGTTTAAATTTGATTACTGCAGTCAGAAGTAACCAACCAACAGCATATTCCTCCGCTTTGATACTAATGTTGTTCCCGCTATCAACTTTTCCACCTTTAAGCACCTCAGCATAGGTTCTTCGCCCTCCAGTACCAGCACTAATAAAGCTTGTTCCTCCACCTGATTTTTGTACCCCAGTTCTTCTGTTTGGCATATCCTTCTCTTTCCCAAAGTCTGCCTTTTTCACCTTCAAACTTTTATCACCACACCATACACCGTTAGCTTTCTGGATTGCAATCCCTGCTGCAACCGAACAATCAAATCTAACAAAACCAAATCTGGTCTTTGTCGTTTTTCTCCTTTTGGCAGGGATGAAAACATCTTTGACCACACCAAAGTTTGAGAACAGAGTGAATAAGCCTCTCGGACTCATTGAATCCGGAATGTCGTCGACGAAGATCGTGTACACCTGACCAACCTCTCCATATTGACCTGGTCTTCGACGAAATACAGGGTTCCAACCACCCTGACGAATATCATGTCTCTGACCAACCTCACCCATCAATGGCTTCATTGATTGAAGATTTATAACACGCTTTGGCTTCTTTCTTCACACAGTTAACAAGCTCCTGGGGGGCTAATCGGAATAACTCCTTACATTGATACTTAATGTTATATAGTGCCTCAACAGCTGCACAAGCAACTATTGCCCACCACTTAAGCTAAGTACACATTATTTTAAAATCCCATTTTCCCTTACCCCTTTTGACTCCCTCTCTTTTTTGATTAGCTAATTTTTTTTTTTCCTTCTCCTCTAATCACCACCCCCCACGTGTGTGTGGGGATTGTGGGGGTGGTAATTGGAGGGAGTCTCTATCAATGCTTTTTATCCTTAAAGCTAGTACTACTACATTTGAAACTCTTAAAATTAGTACTACTAAGGTCTCGTTTGGGGAGTAATCATTTTAGTCAAAAAGTCATTATAAGTTATTACACCACTTTTTTTTTTTAATTTTTTATATATCTTTTTGTAAAAAATCAAAAAATTATTAAAATAATATATTTCCAAACAAGACCTAAATTTGAAGGGATAGCGAAAAATTGTTGTAAAATTTTGTGGCTGAAAACTATTATTTTATTATTTTTTCCCGACAACCTTTTCATGACAATGGGAGTCAATATCCTAAGGTTTTTTTTTTTTTTTAAATAAAATTTTTAAAAAAAAATTCTAAAAATAAAAAAAAAAAAAAAAAAAAAAAATTGTTTAGTTGGTAAAATTCTTAATTATTATATGTTGTAGTGACGTACGTGTTGAATGGATGACAGGCGAAGAAACAGAGGAGTTTCTTTTGGCATGTCAGCCACTGCAAATAGCGGCAATCAAAGGTGATTGGGAGAGCGCCATGAAATTCATAGAAGAATTACGAGTTGCAGCCAGGGTTCCCATCACTCGATATTCAGAAACGGCACTCATGATCGCGGTTAGGATTATTCGAAGAAACCATTTTGTGAAGAAGCTGTTGCAGAAGATGGAACCAGAAGATCTTGCTAACCGTGATGTCGAAGGCCAGACTGCCCTTCTCATTGCTGCAGGAGTGGGCAACATTGAGGCAACCAAACTGTTGGTAGAGAAGAACCCAACGCTGTCTAATGTTGATGACTTTGATGGAGAAATAGCTCTCCAGTGCGCTGCTCGCCATGGGAATAGAGAGGTTGTTCTTTACTTATTGGACGCCACAAAACAAGACCAACAGCTTCAACCATTTGCGGATAAATTAGGTGCTGCACTGTTGTGTGATCTGTCTAGTTCTGGACTCTATGGTAAGTGATTACTAACTAAAACTGTAAATTTACAACGTTAGTCCTCTAATAGTTTAAAGGTTAAAAATTATTTTATATGTTCCTTTTCATTTTAGTCCCTTCAGTCATTTTGGTCTTAAAGTTGTCAATTTGGATTAATTTAATCCAATTTCAAACCGTTGTTTAAATCATTAATGGAAAAATTATAAATATTAACTATGATTCATAAAGTATATATTTTGTGTCATTTTGATCCCTAAATATCAATTTTGTCAATTTCGCCTTTCAATACTAGAAGCTTATGTTTCATTTTCTTTAGAGTAAACTAGATCGATAATCTCTATATTTTGCTTATTGTGCCATTTTGGTCTCTATCATTTCAATTAGCTTGATTTTGACCATTAATTTTAGATTTTTATTGTCAAATTAGTCCAATTAATAACACCGATTAGAGTTTTCGAAGAAAAATGGGCGCTAGTTGTTTGAGATTAACTTAGTAAGTTGAACAAATTTACAATTTTGCCAATAAAAGCGTGACACGTGTTGCTTATATGCGAATTTTCCATCCAAAAAAATTGTAATAATTACACTAAATTGACACGAAATTATAAATTCAAGATCAAAATTGAGCCAATTAAAATTATAGAGATCGAAATGACACAATGACTAAAGTATTATAACTAAATTGATTTGAATTTAATATTTTAAAAAATTAATTAACAAATCAAACTTTAGGGACTTAAACAAAAATGTGTTAAACTTTAGGAACTATAGCTTTAATTTATCCATTATAATTTTTTTTGTCATTGTAGCAGGCTAAAATTTGACATTAAAATTGAATAACTTCCTACTAATTACATATTTTTCATTAATCTTACACACGTTGCTCTAACCTTGCTTCAGCGCTACCCTAATTTGGCATGCATAGAAGAATTCTCTCCTTCGAAGATAAGTGCTGCAAAACGTTCTTCATTTCGAAGTGGAACCTCCTTAAACTTTTGGCAGAATTTAATCTATACGTGTTAGTCTCTTCAACCTCTATTCTTTCTTATCTATTACCTATTCTAAAATTTTCTTTATTGATTTTTTTTTATTTTATCCATTTGTTGGCAAAATGATGGACTAACTATACCAGTAGTTCCCCAATTGTACTTTCTTGCACTTTAGTTAAGGAAAGAGGATATATAATCTAGTTAAGCAAAAATATTCTATGAATTTCAATCGATAAATCATTTTATACGAGCATAATTTGTTGGGATATTTTAACAAAAATAAATTATATTTGATAAAATAATTATAGTTTTATTACAAATTAATATTGTACATAATATCTATTTATTAGAAACTTTTACTATTTATGAAGGATTAAATTTAATTCTATTGATTATACAACTCCAATATAAATCCATCCTCTACACCTGTTTTGAAAAGAGTAACGCTACAGTTATTACTTTTTTATATCATTTTTAATGTACCACCTTATGTGTTAGCACATCATTTGATATAAATATGAGTGATGTGACCCATTACACAAATTATGGATTATCTTGGAGAAGATGAGTGAATTGAAAGGTGGAATTTTTTTTTAGAGAGTTCTACAGTACTTTTATATATTTTATATATGTTTTGGACAACTCTAATTCTTGACGTGATTCAAGTTTTGGGTGGTAATGAACATTGGATGAGAGACGCTATGAGTATTTTGAGTTTTATTTTAGAACTACTTCACTCTAGTTGTAACTTTACAAGGGAATAAAAAATAATTTTAAGATAGTGATAATGCGACTCTCAAAATCTTACATCTATTTTTCTCAACTCATGTTTTTGTCTATATATTATTTATTCTCTGTTACTACAATATTTGTGCTCAATATCTTTGCTAATTAATTTGCTAGACTAAAATAATTCGGTGAACTTTCCACTCTCTCTCTCATGTACATGTTCCTGTGGAATTGGAAAACATTGCAAAGCCCCATAGCGGAGGAGATATTAAAAGAATCCTGTCGACTGCTTGATTTATGGTAACCTTTAATCAAACTCCATCCCCACAAAATACCATGTATTTATAGGGACAAAAAATTAGTGAAATATGGTGTGTTTGGTTGTAGGAAAAATTTGATTTTTTATTAAACATTTTAAGGTAAAATTGGAATTTTGGATAACAAAGAGTGTTGACGTGTACTGTAATTTCAAAAACCTCACTAATCCCCTCTCAACCTGTCAATCAAACAAAACAACCCAAAGAATTTATCATTCTTCTCAAATTTTCCAACTCGCGGCCCTCTTGCTTTCCATGATTATCAAAAAGGAAAATACATTTCATTTTGCACTGTCATCCCTTTTGACTTATTACTAAATCCATACCACAATGCGTATCCACAAAAAAGTAATAATAAAAATTTAAATAAAATTTAAATCATAGCTTGGGAAAAAAATACATATATAATTATTGATTAAAATGATTCATTTTGAGCATTACTTGTGAATGAAAATCTATGTTTGAAATCTTGTCTTTGATTTGGTAGCAGTAAGTTTGCCACCATGGAGGTTGGAGCTTCTTAGCTACAAATTCCTATTTATTGATGTAATTTTTATACATCGTATGCATTTATCATCAATAAAGCTTTTCTTTTACCGTTCAAAAAAAAAAAAAGGTTGCCACCATGGCATTATTGCCTCTCATATGCTAACTGGTTTAGTATTTGTTGTGCAGTGAAGCAAAGATTGCGTACAATGTTTTGGAAAGTTGTTGAAAAAATTGATAGGGATCGGGGTGAATATATACCCTTTTTTTAATGTTTTTGCTAGACTATAATTCATTTTTTAAACTAGATCTTTAAAAAAAGTTCATTTTAATTATAGTGCCACAAATAAAGCACGTCCGAGAAAAGAAATTGGTACACCGTCAAGTACAGAAGCTTGTCCAATGCATTTGCATGAAAGTTGTAAAAACAAAATTCACAGAAGTTGTTAGGATATTTGTACCAGTGTTACAAAAAGCAACATCGGCTGGGATTCATGAAATTGTTGAAAATATTATAGTCATGCCCAAGGTTCTGAAAAGTGGTTGTGGTCGCCGTAACAGTGGCGATGGCGCGGTTGCGGTTGCGGGGTGTAAAGGCCATAGTGTAATTGTTGCAGTAACTGGAACTGTGAATTTTATTTTTCGCATAATTTGAAAAAAACTTACCGATACGCATATTTTTTTTCCATGATCATATTTATTGGGTTAAAAATAAATATTGATCAATTTTTATAAATTTTTAAGTATGATCCAATATATTTTATATTTTTAAATCACTATAAACTGAGTTTTTTACATTTTGTTTTAATGATTAATGGCTTTATATTATACAAAAAATCAATCACTAACTATTATATATAAGATAAACAATGACAAAAGTAAGAGAACAAATAAGAGCCTATATATATATATACATATTTTTACCAAGTCAAATAGATAATGATCACACTTATTATTATTATTATTTTCAAACAATATATAAATAGACACACACAAACAAAATAGTTGAGTGATAGCAGCTGAATAGAATAGCATAGGTCTTACCATAGTTCTAAATATCGGCCGATACGCTACGTATCGGCCGATACGTATCGGAAAAATGGGGTGCCGCGACGGATACAGGCCGATATACCACTGAGATTAAAAATCGCAGGAGTATCGGCCGAGTCCCGGTACGTATCGGCCTGTAAGCGTTACACAAGCTTTATCTTCCCTCTTCTCTCTATCTCTCTTCTCCCATTTTCAGCTTTTTTTTGTGTTTTTTTTTAAAGAAACAGTTTGGAACCATTACGTAACGGTGTGTAGCAGGCTGTTACGGCTGTTACGGCGCCGTTACGACCGCTACGACAGCCGCTACGACCGACACATCTATGAGTCTCAATCACACTGCAAAAGCGGCCATAATGGGTGGCGGTAACCACCAAAACCGTTACATAACAACGTTACGTAACGGTTGCGACCGCTTTTTAAAACCTTGGTCATGCCCTACTGTGATCCATCTTCCTAATGCAAAGATGCAAAGCATATTCCAATATGCAATTGCATGTCGTAGTGAAAATGTGTTCCACCTCGTATATCAACTTGAGGAGTCTACTTATATATATCTGTCAAATTTGGACGCGTCAGGGAACAATGCTCTGCATTTGGCTGCATTGTTGGGACCTCAGCAGCAACTCAGTCTCAGTGTAAGTGCAGCTGGTGCAGCTCTACAAATGCAGCGCGAATTGCAATGGTTTAAGGTAAAATTTTCCGTTCTCCAAAGGAAATAAATAAAATGATCAAGCAATTTCTTTATATTTCATTCTTCTCTTAATTACTTGACTTTACCACACAAGTTACATATGCCCATATTACTACCCATGTTTTTGACTATGACTTTGTCAACTCAGATGTCTTAGGACAGCCCCTACCATACTCAAACTAGAGGTTGTTGACCTTAAAGCTGTGTTGAATCATGAATTTGGATAGAGATTTAGAAACGAAAAGGAAAATCAATTTTTTTTTTTCCTTATATGTTTCATTCACATTATTTTCACATTTTCTCTTTTCCTTTTTAAATCCTTATCTAAATCTATGATCCAAAACATCTAAGTCTGAAATAGATGAAAGTTGCTTTCTGATTCCAAAATCCCCAAGTTTTGATGTAAAAACTTTCTCGACTGATATGGCTCATGACAATCCCTTTCCCACTACTCAGATTAAAGGTCATTGAGTTTTTATGTAAATTGCCTTTATCATTTGAAAGCTATTTTTTGTTCATTTGTACAGGAAGTGGAAAAATTGGTACTGCCTGGAGACAAAGAAAAGAGGAACACTAATGGAATGACACCTGCAAAAGTATTTACTGATACACACCAGGAGTTGGTAAAGGAAGGAGAGAGGTGGATGAAAGACACTGCCACTTCATGCACAATTGTAGCTTCCCTCATTGTCACCGTTGTTTTTGCGGCTGCCATTACAGTGCCAGGTGGAAACAACAACAATAACGGACATCCATATTTTTCCAAACATAAAGCCTTTTTAATCTTTGGCATATTTGATGCATTGGCTCTTTTCTCATCCATTACTTCTGTGTTGATGTTCTTGTCCATCCTTACTGCTCGCTACGCAGAAGAGGATTTTCTCTATGCTCTCCCCAAAAGATTAATCATTGGTCTTGTTATGTTATTTGTCTCTCTATTATCCATGATGATTGCCTTTGGAGCCACACTTTATCTAATGTTTGGAGATAATAAGGTCTGGATTCTTGTTCCTGTCATTGCAGCCTTGCAATTTCCTCTCCTTGTAGTGATGATAAAATCCATTTCGAGTTCGGACACCTTTGGCAAGCGAAGTGATCGTATGCTCTTATAGGTAAAAAACATCAAATGTTGAGAATGAGAAAACATATCTTCAGCCAAACTCCTCTAGTATTCAATGGTATTTCAAATTACAATTGCTATTTGATTTGGTGGTACAATGCAATGACTAATAAGAATATTCAGTTGCTTTGTAACTAATGAGTTATTACTGTTTGATTATTTTTTCATTGTCGTCAAATTTCATTAACAAAACATGTGAGTGGTAGTCATGTATGTGAGTAATAGCTGTTGGTATTGGTTTCGCTATTTTCTCTCTATTTCTTTTGTGATGGGATCACAAATGGTATTTATATTTAATTTTTTTATAAAAAAATGGGAAATTTATCAAAAAATTTCTTTCAAGTATTTGTATCCTAATTAGTCCATAAGATATTCTTGTATTCTAATAAGTCATATTATTTTAAATATTTGATATACTAAAACCTAATTCTCATAGTTAAGGTTATAGACAATTTTACTCTTACAAATATTTCTTAAACCCATAGCAACTTAGTGATGTGAACATTCGCATTAAATAAATTTGACAATGTGAATGTTCACATTATAGAATATTCACATTGTCAATGTGAATATTAATACACGTTTCAACATATTATTATTAGGAGTATTTTAGTAACTATGTTAAGACTTATTGGAAAAATAATTTAGACTAAGCGGAACATAAGTAAGTGAAAAGAGATTTATGAATAAATGTCCAAAAAAAAAATTTAACAAATGATTATTTGAGTTTTTTTTTTTTGATCGGCAAACAAAAGAAATTTATATATATATGAAAACACCATTACATAAGAAACATCCTGCATAGCTAGCTGAAACCAAACAGAAGGTGGCATCAAAAAGCTAACCCAACACCCACTAACAATATACCAGTTGGTGAGAGACCAACTAGAGGAGCCACAACATACTAACCAAAATCAGTATAACATAGAGTACCTCACACCACCACCCAAGACCAGAGAACACAACCAAATAGGGGACAAGAAGAAATACACAGAAATACATGGAAAATCAGTGGATCAGTAGCAGAAGTACTCAGAAAACACACAGGCAGCAATACCAGAAAACCAACAGGAATACACAGGCTTCAAATCAGTAGCAGAAAACCCCAGTAGTAGATCAGTAAAAGAAAAACACAGGCCAAGCACAACTTCACACTATTTTACTTGCTCCTATCATCCGAATAAAAGAGAAGTAACTAAGAAATAAGAGGTCAGGCTAATAGCATTCCAGCAGCTGCACATAACTTCAACCTATCCCTCTTCTACAAAACTTAATTTGTTGTAAGTTAAACAAGAAATCATTAACAGAGAAAGGCAGCTTCGGGTCAGCAGCTCTAACCCACATAGCAGTCCTGGATTTAATTAGATCACATAGACCATGCAAATCTGGTTGAGTTAATTACACTTTTCACTAAGGTAGACTTAAAGTGTAAGGATTAAATTGTTTAAATTGAATATATAAAAACTAAAATAAAATTTAGATTAAACTATTGAGGGGGTGTCCCATAACATTACCCCTTTTTGACTTTATTATTTCTTGTTAAATTGAACAAATAATTCTTTGAGTTAATTACACTTTTCACTCCTATAAACTTAAATTATAGGGATTAAATTGTTCAAATTAAAACTATAAGAACTAAAATGAAATTTAGATCAAATTATTGAGGGTGTGTACCATAACATTTGCCTTTTTTGACTTTATTATTTTCTTGTTAATGTGGGGATGTATTTTCTGAATACCAACACGTGGCAAGGTGACGCCGACGTGTTAGCCGAGGTCCCACGTTTCCAGGTTGTAACGCCGAGGTTATCTCGACAGGGCCGAGGTTATCTCCGAAGATATCGGAATCCGAGATAAATGGATAAAAGATAAGGGACAAGAGTCCTAGAGTAAAGAGGGGACTTAGCCAAGATAAGGATAAAGCTCTTAGGGAGTTTATCTTTATCTCTTAAGGAGTCCAAAGTAAGTACTGAATTGGAGTCCATAGAAGTCAAGCTTCTAGTGGGACTAGGATTGAGTAAACTATAAAAGAGAGGCACCCCCGTGGGTCTAAAGTACGCAGTTTTATGCTTTGAGTAGTGAGTTTAGTACTTGAATATCTTTGAGAGATATACTAACTTGATCGTCGGAGTGCCCCCTGGTGGAAGAGCCACCGCTAGAGCCTTTTCTTTCTGTTGCAGGTTAGTTGAAGCCATCTATTCTGTTAGTGCTCTCCAGCTAATTACTAGGCGGGCAGTGTGATCAGAAAATTACCCACACAATTTGGCGCCGTCTGTGGGAACTTAGAAGAATAGATGGCCAGTAACGGACAGAAGGAAAACATTGGGGGCGACACTCCTGCTGGGAGTGGTAGACCAATTGACCTTGACGTTGAAGGAGACAACCACAATGCAGAAACTCATGACCAGGGCCACAGAGAGAAAGACGTCGACCAGAAGGGCGACACTTTGAAAAGGATAGACCAAAGCAAGTACTATAACGAAGATAACCTTCAGGTATGGAGGGATAGGTGCCTACGGAGGGATGAGGAAGTAAAAGACTTGGCAAACAAATTGGCAGACCTACAGTCAGTAGTCAACTTCATGATGCAAAACAATGTCATGCAGCCACCATACCTGCTGCAGGATACGCTGATGCCAGCAACTAACACCCAGAAGGGAGGAAGAAGAACAATCCTTGAAGTCCCTCAGCACACCAGGAGCGGAAGGCACTCTCACCGACCTTCCAGGGAAGGCGGACGAGAAGAGCCGAGACGAGAGGAGTCCCGAAGAACGTATCACACGAAGGATCCAGAGCCCAAAAAACATCGGCATGTTCAAGGGCAAGCGCTCTACTTTGATACAACACATGGAGAGAGATCAAAACGAGCCCACCACGAGGCCGGAAGTAGTGTGTCGAAGAGATTGAACTCCAGAGATAGCCGAGCTCCAGGGAGGAGTAAAGAAGACTTGAGAGATTACCTTAAAAGGAAGCAACAGAATGCTGAAGCCGAGGTAACTTCCCCGGTTAAGCCGAAGACACCATTCTCGGTGGAACTGGACAAATTTCAAGCACCAAAGAGATTCAGTATGCCGAGGTTCCAAATATATGATGGTAAGTCAGATCCCAACTTCCACGTCGGGCTATACCTGAATGTAATGGCATTATATAGTGGGAACGAGCCGTTGCTCTGCAAAGTATTCCCCTCGTCCTTTGGGGAAATTGCATCAGATTGGTTCCACAAACTACCGAAGGGAAGCGTAAAGACTTGGGAAGGCCTGGCCGAGATGTTTGTAGCCAGGTTTGTGACGAATAAACTTCAAACCTTGAGGGTCGACGCACTGATGGCATTAAAGATCGCCAAGGATGAAGGCCTTAGGGCCTACGCAAAAAGGTACTACGAGGTGTTCAATCGAATATCTGATTGTAACCAAGAGGTGGCGGTTGTGTCCTTCAAGAACGGCCTGAAAGATGACTGCCCACTACGGAAATCTTTGGCAAAGACATTGCCAAAAAGCATGAAAGAACTCATGGCGAGAATAGAGAAGTACGTCAGAGCCGAGGAGGATACGTCGGGAAATAAAGAAACAAAGCAGGAGAAAGGAAACGGCTCGCCGAAGTGAAGCCGAGGTAACAATGGACCAACCAAACAAGAAACAGACTTGAAGGCAAAACAGACAGTAACGACCATATTCCGAGTCCCGATCCACAAAGTCTTGGATCAAATACGAAACCAGCCATATTTTAGAGGACCGACAAGAACACCAGAGGAATTCATGGGAAGAAATGTCGGTAGGCGTTGTGCTTACCATAATGAAGAAGGGCATCCAACTCAGGGTTGCAGAGCCCTAAAAGCACACTTAGAAGACTTGGTAAGGCAAGGGCATCTGAGGGACCTTGTTGATGAGGCCAGGACTAGAGAAGAACAGGCAAGATTGCCTCAAGCACCAGCAGCTTCGCCTCCCCCAGCACAGCAACCACCCACAGGAGGACCACGGGTGGTTAACGTAATTCACTCAAAGGTGAACGAAAACGACATATGAGGGGAGACCCAAAAGGTAAAACACCTGTAACATGTGAACCAGGTTGGACATAAACGACCTCGGCCTGAAGAATGCCAGGGACTGACGATAGCATTTACTGAAGCCGACCTAGAGATGGTCCAGCATCCACATAACGATGCCTTGGTAGTATCCCTCCAGGTTGGGGAGTACCAAGTAAAACGCACCTTGATTGATCAAGGCAGCTCTTGTGACATCATGTATGTTAGATGTTACAAGGAGCTGGGCCTTCATCCTGACGACTTGGAACAATCCAATAACCCAATGGTCGGCTTCAATGGAACGCCGACGTGGCCACTGGGCGCAACAAGCTTGGAAGTACAAGCTGGCATTAAGAAGATCAGGACAGAATTCATGGTGATTGACACACCTTCACCATATAACATCATCTGGGAAAGACCATGGTTGCATGCAATGGGGGCAGTTCCCTTAACATTGTATCAACTACTGCGGTTCCCAACAGAGCATGGGATTGAAGAAGTCAGAGGAGATCAACTGCAGGCAAAAAGTTACTCCATGGCAGCAATGAAGTCTACTTGCAGCGTTCGAGAGCCAAAAGAGGCAGAAATTGAAGATGAGGACGTAGAAGTACTAGAAGACGTCGGCAAAGAACCAGCCGAGAAGAGCGAAGAGGCGCTAAAAAAAATCCTCGTCCAGGATGGAGACGAAGAACGCTTCTTGCTTCTCGGCTCGGGCTTAGCCGAAGAAGAGGAAAAATAGTTGGATACTTTTTTAAGAGCCAACATTGAGGTGTCCGCCTGGACACCTTACGAAATGCCTGGCATTGACCCCGAGGTCACTTGCCATAGACTGAATGTCGACAGGTCGGCAAAATATGTGATTTAACAAGCCAGAAGACCAACGTTGATACACGTCGAAGCAGTAGAAGAAGAAGTGGACAGACTTCTGGAGGCCAGGGCCATCCGAGAAGTTCATTACCCAACATGGCTATCCAACACAGTAGTGGTAAAGAAGAAGAACGGTAAATGGCGGGTCTGCGTAGATTTTACAAGCTTGAACAAAGCTTGTCCCAAAAACTGCTTTCCTCTACCCAAGATTGACCAGTTGGTAGACGCCACATCTGGACATGAAAGGATGAGCTTCCTGG